CAGTCATAAATACATGCATTGTGAATTGATCTCCTGAAAAGATCACGTGAACTTAATATGAAATATTAAACCGCTTCTGAAATCATTTTGGTCACTGATGTATCAAATTTGAACATGCTTTCTGCACGTGTACCATCAAAGCAACGATGATACCAGATTTTGCTACAGGTGAGTGTATCCTGCCAACTGGTGGCATCCATTACAAACACATGAAAAGGCAAGTCAAGTATTTACATGAACACGGAGACAGACATAATTTGCATCACTGATGTTGCAAATTTGTAATAAATATAATCGCACAATGTGTCTGTGATTTGGCATGTGTTCATAATACAAACAAGTCTCTCACAACACTCAGTATATACGTCTTTGGATTGTCAGATTCGGTGGGGTAACTTTGTGGTCCAAGCGTATCACACCGAAAGAAACGGGTTTGATTCCCCACATGGGTGCCATTTGCCAAGTCCATATATGTTGTACCCAGCCTTGACATTGCTTGTAATCATACTCACTCACTCACTCACTCCCTTCTGGATTGGAGAGATTCAAGTAGATACGTCACGGTGAAGGGTGAGTGAGTGAGTTTGGTTTTACGCCGCACTCAGCAATATTCCAGCTATATAGCGGCGATGTGTAAATAATCGAATCTGGACCAGACAATCCAGTGATCAACAGCATGAGTATCGATCTGCGCAATTTGGAACCGATGACATGTGTCAACCAAGCCAGCGAGCCTGACCACCCGATCCCGTGGTTATCTCCCAATTGACAGACACCCATTTGACAGACACCCAATTGACAGACACTGAACTAGAAGGTTAATTAGGGTAACACCTACGGGTATAATGGAACAGTCCACTGTCTTGTGAGTAGAGCAGGGTGAGCCTGAAACAGGTTCGTTACTTAGAAGTTTGATTGTGGGTAAATAGAACTTTGTTGTGATTCAATGATAAATGATTTCTCTTCTCAAAATTGATTTTACTATCAATTACTATCGAAAATGAAAACAGGTTTGTCACTGAGAGGTTTGATTGTGTTTATTGATAGAAAAGCCCTCTCCCAATAATAGCATATGTACAACAGAAGTTAACTGAGAAAACGTTTTGTTGGAGAGATATAGATATGTACATATTTGAAAACATTCTGATTTGCAGTAAATGAGACATCTGCATTGCCATGTAAGATACGATTAATACCAATCAGTGTTCTAATTTTAACAATACTTTCTAAAGATTGTAACATTTTATGTCTTTGACTTGTATACAATGGGCATTCAAGGAAGTAATGAAAAACATTCTCATAATCAATGGTCACATTGACATGATGTGTCATATTTTAAATATATTCTAAATAAGTCGTAATTAAGTACACTCGTCATATATATACATGCAATCTTTCCCTTACCTGTTTGGAAAAGAAAACCAATTGTAATAATAAAGGTTTGAGATGCGAACTGAAACAGCAACGTGACATGATGTAGCAAGTTATTTTGAAGATAAGGTGTTACCAATCAGCTTAAGGCCCAGGTATCTCATCGGAGATAAGATTATCTCAACATGTCCTGCTGCTTCTGCTCTCGCCAAAACCACATCCTGTTGACTTAATCGTCTCTGTACAGGCTCCCCATGAGAAGGGTTTTATGGTATATATACATGGGAACCTTCTTCTACTTCATCAGCTCTCTGTTTCTAAGGTTAAGAAGACAATGAAATACTCACTCCTCCTCGTCTTTGTTGGTGAGTATATTTCATGAAAGATATTTTGCATCATCGGTCCCGATTATTTTCAAAATATCCATTTTCAGATGTAGAGTTTGCTCCCTGGCGATGATAATAGATGGAAATTTCTTTCACAATGTTACTTTTTAGTATGCCTCTAATGAATAGTAAAAATGAACATTCTGGGTAATATAGGGACAGTTTAAATTTTAAATTGCTGAAATTCTATTTTCCTTGTACGTGTCTATATGTCATCCTTTAGCAAAAAACGTTCTTACCAATATCAGCACAAGTATCAGTAATCCCCATTAACGTCTGTGTGACATTTGAAACCAGGAACTATCGTTAACTTCACCAACACCTGGTGTCATTTATTCCTACAATTCTTGCCTCTGACACCTGTTGAAATCTGTTTGGGATAAAACTGCGACTGATTATGCGACACTCACCTGCGACTGTCTATTGCTGACGTTCCATATTGACATCTTGGGCTACGGGGAACATATGTCCATTAGCTTCAATCCTGAAATATGTAAACACAAATAATCGGAAACCATGTTATGTAATACATCTCTCATATACATGTAATTTTCTGTAATCTTCTTCAAGTATCTGAGAAGGTTAAAATGTTTAACTTGCATTTGCGCAGCAAAACAGACGGCATCACGTATGTTTGTGATTCCAGCTATGCTTCTGGCAGTTAGCCTCGCCCATCACCGCCGTCGACATCGCCATCACCATCACTCATCCTCCGTGAAGCACGTGCACCACTACCACTCATCAGGATCATCAGGCTCATCCGGGTCTTCCGGCTGCGGCTGTTGTGGGGGTAGCTCCGGATCCTCCTCTTCCTCCTCCGAGGACTACCCCATCCCAATCCCCGTCCCCATCTCTAGCGGCGGCAGCAGCAGCGGCAGCAGTAGTTCCTCCGACGCCGCCCTTCTTCAGGCTCTCATCAACGCTGGGAAATAGGTTATGAGGTAAAGAAAACAGCTTTCTGTAACTTATAAGAAAGACGAAAAATAAGAATCTCACAATAATGATAATTTACACAAACGTTTTAATGACATAACGTCCGTTAGTGACGTCATCGCGGTCCGATTTTCAGGGCAGGTGTTAGTGAGTGATTAAGGTTTTATTACTAAAATATTCCAGCCATAACACTGTGGGGAACATGAAAACTAGGATTCCCATTCTTGGCACCGATGTCGAACCCGGTTCTTTGGTGTGACAAGCAAACTTGTTTACCACTAGGCCACTACCCGCCCCTACAAGCAGAATAGTGATTACCATTTCCTTGCACGTCATAACAATGACAAAAGTGGACCAGAAACTCAGGTCCTGCTTGCGTGTCGTTTTGCCCCAGTGCCCTTTAACATTGTTCATGCTTTCAATAATTAGCTTACAGGTCGTCCGTATATGTTGTTTTCTGCGTCACTAAATAATATTCACTCACTCACTAATTTGAATGCGAGAGGTTTACCACTGCCTTGTTTTTTGGTTGAGGTCTTGTCGGTCAAAGGGGATGACTATTGTTAACAAGAATTCTCTGTGCTGTTACATGTCAAACAATCGTGTATCACGTTTAAAATCTTTCTTTTTCAGTTACCACCTTCGGATGAAGTCACGGATGTTTGTTGTAATTTAATTTCGGATGCTTTGGAGTAAATAAAACCTCTTTGCAAAAAATAAAATACATGTATTTATTTTCAATGTGCAACGAGGACGAGCTCTCAAACAGAAGGCCAAAAAGTAATACACTGATACGGCGTTTTACCCACGCAACAGAAGTAAAGCCAGAAATAACGCGTTAACGCCTGTCATGTAGACAGGAGACGTTCAGATACAACAATCACAAGCGTGTCTCTGGCAACTTCAGAGACACACTCGGGTAAAAAGCAGGGATTCCATAGCAACGATCGAAGGGAGGCAACCCATAGAATGAGGCGCTTTAAAAGACTCGCGTACAATGCCCTCCAAACAGGTTGGGGCGGAATATTTACACTCTTGTCATGAATTTTTAAAATTTATCTTTCACATTGATTACTAGGTTTAATACTTCGAAAAACCAGCCCTTAAAACGTTTTATGGTAGATACGTCTCTTGTCATTGTAGAGAGGATTTTGTGGCTTTCGTGCAATAACATAGGGCAGGCAATTTCACGCAATAATGTCAATAACAGTTTCACGTGATAATTGTAAAACCAAGTCTATACTGCATGAGCGTTGCATGCGTTTACTCTTTTTCACACTTTAAGGGTATACAAAAATTATCATCAATGACAATGAGATATATATAAATAAAACCCGTAGTCATAAGAAATCGCTGCAGAAGGCAGAGCTCAGTGTTCTTTTCCGACTCGTTATGGAGAAGTATCACAGAGTGATGATAGCAGGTATTCACGAAACGATGACAGTATCCCGTCCCACAACATTCGTGACCAACTCCTGTTATTCCGGGACAAGCCGTCTTCTTGGAGGTTACGGAAAGGGGCGAGTGGTGACGAATGGTCCGACAAGTGTCACTGGTGCGTCGAAATTGGAAATACCTTCCACCTTTGGACAGAACTGTTTTCGAAGCTTGAATAATCTTGCCATGATCAAACAACGTTTGATAACGAACGCTCTGAAGTAAAATATAGCAAAATGTAGATACCATCAGCTGGTTTGATTGCTCGAAAGTTGACAAATGGAAAGTCTATATTAGCAGTGTTTTCACACAGTGTTGTGGATAGTTGTGTCAGTACGAATCCTTATGCCTAGATGAAAATATCAAACCGGTTACACTTATCTCAAGAATTGTATAGGTTATACAGTGGAAAGATTTAGGGTATTTGACCATAACCGAACGCAATCAGATCATCGATATACCTGAAGATTTAACTTAGAAGAATAGATTTTCCTATCTGTCTTAGAATGCACGTTTCTTGCATTGATGTCCTTTTCCAGTCTTTCACATATACACAAATAGAAACTTGTTGCTAAAGTTTTGAGGAGGGATAATGCTTTTGGGGTTCTTTTTGTATCATGCACATGTAGCTTGTCTGTTCGCGCTCTTGACGACTGGGGGCGGTGGGGTAGCCTAGTGGTTAAAGCGTTCGCAGGTCACGCCGAAAACCCGGTTCGATTCCCCACATGGGTACAATGTGTGAAGCCTATTTCTGGTGTCCCCTGCCGTGATATTGCTGGAATATTGCTCAAAGCGGCGTAGAGCCAAACTCACTCATTCACTCTTGACGACCGACGTCAAAGGTTTTGCTGAAAAGCGTGAAACACAGCAATCTCGTGCAGAGAGTCACGTGATCGCCTTAGCTATCACGCGCATTGCAGGGTAGCTAATAACAGGAAAACGCATAAACAGTGCAAGTTTAATCACAAAGCGAGTATACCTCGACTCACAAATCATCAACGTGAGCTTGGCATGGGAAATGTAATACTTGACTGTCCGCTGCAGCAGTTGCACGAGCCCTGGGCTGCAGTCGTCAACCAATACACAGTCCGAAGACCCGTATGCAACAGAAGGGCGTCGTTGCAGATCGTTCAAAGACTTGGGCGCATGTTGTGTCGTCACACCAAGATGACGTGCACATCAGGTGAGGTCATCTCCGCTACACATTTGGAACTGCGACTGCCACTAATAGACAGTTGCTCAGACACCACATAGTCAAGGTTGTAATTTGATTGAGTATAGGTGTTATTTGAAAAGAAGCTTAACATTATGCATAGTGTTTCCCAAGACGATATGTACATAAGCATATTTTTAGACAACAAACGTCCATAACGGTCCGATCGCACTTTTTTCAGATTGCACAAAATATATCAAATGGTTTTAGATAACGAGATCACATTTAGTTTTTAACTCTATTTTCTCAATACATTCTACAAATACATAAAAAAACCTTCCTTTTTTAGATTAAGGGTAATGATTTACAGTTGATGCTGTGTGTGTGTGTGTGTGTGTGTGTGTGTGTGTGTGTGTGTGTGTTTTAGCCTAGTGGTTAATGCGTTCGCTCGTCACGCCGAAGTCCTGGGTTCAATTCCCCAAATGGGTACAATGTGTGGAGCCCTTTTATGGTGTCCCCCATCTTGATATTGTTGGAATATATTGCGGCGTAAAACTAAACTCACTCACTCATGTGATGCACGGTTTTCTCGTATATACTTACCAGTCCAGATCTCGATAATGTACGTAGTCCCATATGTCCATATGGTGAGGGTAAGGCAGAGGGAAGCACCGGAAGCCTTCATGCACTCATAGCATCATCAGTAGAGGAGGAAATGCAGTCGGACAATAGGCACCGCAATTAGCTGTACACATTTGCGACCCCTGGGTGTGCCAGAATCCTTATAGACTCTTAAAAATATGAGGGGAACTTCATTTATAATTTACGATTGAAAACATTGGGAGATATAACGAAGTCAATCAGTGTTGATATGATAATAATGAATGTTTTGAGAGAGCATCACCCACCACTTGCACTTCCTTATGACCATAGTTGTTTGTACAGTAATCGCTCTTGAAAGATGATTGGTGTATGGCGTGAAATTTGCATGTGTACGATTTTCATTTTCAAACAATAAAAACCCGGCTAGAAACAAACACTAACAACTGAGTGATGCAAGATGATTGTCAAAATTAATGGTCTACAGTAATTTATCCACCTTCTTGAAATCCTTGGGGGCACTGGGGTAGCCTAGTGGTTAAGGTGTTCGCTCCTCACGCTGATTCCCCACATAGGTACATTGCGTGAAGCCCATTTCTGGTATCCCCCCGCCCTAAAATTGCTCGAATATTGCTAAAATCAGCGTAAAACACAACTCACTCGCCCACTCACTTGAAAACCTTGAGTATAGTATGATCATGAGCTTGAATCCAAGCTTCTCACTTGTATTACTTGGGTTTTTTCAGCACCATACGGCTATTCACGGGTTTCACCAATGTTGTAAACATGTTAGATCTGCTTCGGGATTTCCTCCCCACATCAAGCTGAAAGGCTGTGATACAACTGAAATAGGTATATTGTTCCAAGTGGCGCATGCTGACCAATCCCAGTCACTCTTGAAGAGTGCCGCCGAGATATTGCTGGAATATTGCCAAAAGCGGCGTAAAACTGAACTAACTCACACGCTTGAAGAGTGACTGAGAAAAAACGTATGCCATACTGAATCAAAATTGGGATGTTACAGAACAAACACGTGTTTTCCATTTGAAGCTCGTCTCAAGCTGAATGCGTGCAATACAAAACATAAAATAGCAGAACAGGTTCCTGTACAATAAAAGGGTAGATATGCTAAAAAATGCTAAAATGCTAAATATGATAGAGAGAGTTTTTTATTAGTCGTTAACGTTACGTCCATAAGCATCTTCATCAACCTCCGGAAGCACATACAAGTAATCAAAGGCACAGACAGTCCTAGTTATCAGACGAGACAGATCCGTTGGGCAAAAACGGCAAAACACGTTATCCTTGAGATCAAAGTGAAGATAAAATTAAACTTAAAATCTCGAGTAGCTCTTACTGCCAAAATAGTTGAAGATGGGAGTCAGTTTATACCATTTAGACGTCATTCAGATGTTAACGCAATCGAGCTTCCGAGTATATATTTATCTTATTATAGTACTTTTCTACATTGATCTTTTCACTTACCCATCACTGGTTTTAAATAAAAAATACGATCTCCTGCGATCAGCTTCAGGGAGTTTTTCCTTCATGCGACATCAAGCATCCCTTGATGATGCAGCAAAGCTTATTTTAGACAGAAGGGTTAAAATAACAACTTAAGAGGGAGTAAACTTGTAGGAGACAAGATAATCTCCACAGGTCCTGCTGCTACTACTATTGAGAAGACCACATCCTGTTGACTTCATTGTCTCTGTATAGGCTCCACGTGGGAAGAGAGATCTGGTATATATACACGGTAACTTGTCTCTGTTGACCAGTTCCTCTGTCGCAAAGGATAGCAAGACGGGCATCATGAAGTTCTCTCTCATCCTCGTTATTGTTGGTGAGTACATTCAAATTTTATCGAATGATATTTCATCTAGACTCTATATTGGTACAGTTCTTTCTTGTATAAATACAATCTGCGACTTGCTTCTACGAAAGGGTCACAAAGCACTTTTGCTCTTCTTTTTTTGTAAATAAATAATATTTATTTTGTTTATGTTAATAACATGTGCATGATGAATGTGTCGCGTACGCTCTCACATGAGGTGAGGTGAAACCTGGTTTAACGTCGTGCTTAATAATATTTCGCTCATATGACGACGTGCATGCGTGTGTATGTGTATGTGCGGCTGCATGTACTAGCGCTGGTTTTATAGTGCTAGCTCATTGATATACCATGCCGCAGTGAAGCATGAATACCCCACTCAGACACATTATACTGACTCCGAGCCGACCAGTCCTTGTTGTACTCATTAATGCCGAGCGCCAGCAGGGACCAACCAGTTCCATATTTTAACGTCTTTTTGGTATGACGCGGTCGGGGATCGAACCCGCGACCTTCCGCTCTCCGGGCGGACGCTCTAACCACTACACCACGGAGGCGGTCCACTCTCACATGAACTTCATCGATCTAGGTTATTTAGAATGGCCTTATATTAGCTTACTTTTCAGGTGATAATGTGCTTTCGGCTTTTCGAATGCTATAACCAAAGGCGACAGGTGTTGCTCACGATAGTAATTTGTTGTTGTTGTTTCTTTGCCTAGACTCGTTTATTTACAGGAGAATTTCATCACTAATGCCAGATCTCTCAAACTTAAAAGCATACTTCCACTGTACCCAAGAGAAATTTTGCAACGATAAAATATAGATTTATAATTTTCTGTGATTCCAGCTATGCTTCTGGGTGTCAGCCTTGCCCATCACCGTCGTCGACATCGTCATCACCATCACTCATCCTCCGTGAAGCACGTGCACCACTACCACTCATCAGGATCATCAGGCTCATCCGGGTCTTCCGGCTGCGGCTGTTGTGGGGGTAGCTCCGGATCCTCCTCTTCCTCCTCCGAGGATTACCCCATCCCAATCCCCGTCCCCATTTCTAGCGGCGGCAGCAGCAGCGGCAGCAGTGGTTCCTCCGACGCCGCCCTTCTTCAGGCTCTCATCAACGCTGGGAAATAGATAGATAGGTAGAGACACCACTTTCGTAACTCGGATTTCAAAGTGTTAAAGTCCACGGGGACAGCGGGGTAGCCTAGAGGTTAAGCCCCGCTGAAGACCCGGGTTCGAATCCCCACATGGGTAGAATGTGTGAAGCCAATTCCTGATGTCCCCGCCGTGATATTGCTGGAATATTGCTAAAAGCGGCGTAAAACTAAAACTCACTCACTCACTCATGCGCCTCAGACACAATTTGAGGAGGATAGTTGTGTGCACACTTATCCACCTGCAGAGGTTGTAGTAATGTGTCTCCACCAGCAGAGGTTGTAGTAATGTGTCTCCACCAGCAGAGGTTATAGTAATGTGTCTCCACCAGCAGAGGTTATAGTAATGTGTCTCCACCAGCAGAGGTTGTAGTAATGTGTCTCCACCAGCAGAGGTTATAGTAATGTGTCTCCACCAGCAGAGGTTATAGCAATGTGTCTCCACCAGCAGAGGTTGTAGTAATGTGTCGCGTGTCAAAACCCACGGTTCATCTTTTTCACTACAATGGTTATAGCAGTCTTGTTGATTAAAAAATCATTTTCTCTTTCATTTAAGTTGATGTGTGAATAATGATGTGAAAGTATAAAGGCTACCTTTGATATGTCAGCTCAGAAAAATCCATCTCCCATATAACTGACAATAATCCTGAACCCAACATTGAAACTCAACTCACCAAACAGGATGTTTTAGCTGACATATCAAGAAGAAGTTGTTTAGAGTACAATCTATACAACCCAGTGGCCATCATGGTACACCTGCTGTCGGGTATCAGTGCTATTTCCTGTAGCAGATAACGGAATCCATCCATCTTCATTCATGCTATAACTTATATTGTGCTTTTCTTTTTCAGTTGCCATTCTCGGATGTACTGACGTTTGAATGATCTTTGACAAACTCGCGTCGGAAACTCCTGAAAATGAACGATACATATGTTGTTTATAAACACTAGACTTCTACACACATTATCCACTTAAAAGTCACATGCAACGTAAAAAGCACAACTTTGCAGATTCACTGATACCTTTCGGTATGGACACTGATTTTCATCATTTACTGAACTCATGACAATAAGCTTTTCAACATTACGAATTTGTTTAACAATACATCAGTTCATGTGTAAACAGTACCTTTAAACAGTATGGAATATTTTGCAAAATCTAGTTTAGAACAGTTGACTAAAGTAAGTGGCTACATGCAGACTAGTGAGTCTAAACTTTTGATGGGTAGTATAGATATGTCGCTGTCACAGACAAAACTCAATGTCTTGTTTTATTGACACCTGTGTGTCTGCCTGCCTGTCTGCTAATGACAATATTCAATACACAACTTCGATCACTGACCACATGCAATTTGAACACCAATCATGGTATACCCCATAAACAAAACGCATTGATTTATGGCCCGAGTTCGGTCTCTGTCACATTATGTAATTACACAGACAGGCAGGTGTGATACTTGAACACATGACATGTTATGATGTCTGTTGATTGCCAAATGTTATACACAAAAAATGAGCATGTATTTACAAAACCCAACATCTCTATATATACACACACAATGAGCCTTGAGGGAATCTGCAAATGAACCAGCCGTTACACTTGAGTGCACACCCACCCGCTCTGACTGGGTTCGGTATCCCGGCTGCTTCGTTTCTTGGGAAGTAAACCCAAGTACAAAATATTGCACTTTTGATTTGCGATTGTACGCTTATAATTTTGTTTATATGTTTTTTCATAACCAGCAATGTATATTATATGTCATGAATAAGTGATAATTGTGTTTTAATTATGTTTGATTTTTTGGTTGCATGTGACCTTTAATATATGTCCACTCTGAGAAAGCAGGGGCAGTGGGGTAGCCTAATGGTTAAAGCGTTGGTTCGTCACGCCGAAGACCCGGGTTCGAATCCCCACATGGGTACTATGTGTGAAGCCCATTTCCGGTGTCCCCCGCCGTGATGTTGCTGGAATATTGCTAAAAGCGGCGTAAAACCAAACTCAGTCAGTCAGTCTGAGAAAGCACACCGTACATTCCTTTGTTTAATCTTGCTAAAGGAGGTCACAGTGTAACACCCACAGGCATGAAGATGTTAAATATCACTTGTTCTGAACACACCAACAGCGTTTGTTTCAACGACATTGAAACAATTAGTTCAGAGAGTGAATGTAGCGCTACAACAATATAACCGAATGATAGCAATATCACAGCTGAATCAAAAATATCTTCCATCCATGAAACACCAATATGACACCAAAATATTAATAGTTTTTAAAGTCTGTTCTGGATTTCACGGGTTCAGTTACAGAAGCGTAAAATCAGATAGCACTATGAGGCAACAAATCAGCGTTATTCACACTGGAGTGTCCTGCTTTTTACCGAAACACAAATATTACAACCAATAGATCATGGAGTCAACTCAAGACGAGAGACACTGACATGTGTCTAAAGTGTCACCGGGGTATATTACTTCTTTATCGCTGTAGGCTTTCTGGTAACGCCTCACGCTTGTTTGAAATAATTATTATTTTAATCCCCAGTATATGGGGATGGAGAACTGGCACTGCAAATATATTCGGCTGAATACATCGGTGACGCTACGTATAACCGATAAATATAGTTTCGCTTGGGGACTAGGCGGCGCTTTGAATACAACCCACCCCACCCCCGACGATTATATTTAAATCTCTAAGAGCAATACTCATTAAATCTTTTCTCTTTATATGGAGTAATCCAAAATGGAGGGGACACTGGGAATCATCAAGATATATCTTCTGATCTATATCGTATTAGCAAGTGGAAAATATGTGGTCATATCTACTGGGGATATGGCGATCAATAGTTGGTGTGCTGGTTGCGAAATAGCTAAAGGTTGTGAAAGAGGACGGTGATAAAATTCGTTACAAATATGGGGCAAAACCACCTCTGTTGGGCAGACATGCACGAACTCTTCGAGGTATGGTTATGTTGAGTTGAGTTGACCAATGTTTGACGTTGAAGGCTAAGACGTGTTCCAGGGGGTAGGTTCAGACCTAAGTGCAGGCCATTATCCTTTTGGTATGATAACTGTGCCCAATATTTTACAATTGTTATATATTGTCTAGTTTTGAAAGATAAACATCCCCAAGGTTCCGTGTATTTCTATCAAGAAAAAGAATTTGCTTTAAGAAATTATTGTATACTCTGTCTGCATCCTGTGAGGGGTGAAATCCCCATATTTCTGAGTTGGACAATATATAAGCCATAACCCACTGCATGAGAAATGAACACTCAAATATTTGTAAGAAGACACAATTTCTAGTTGGGTATCACTGAAAATTTCGCATGTCTTTAATCTACCACCTTTCCTGAAAACCATACATTTAGTTTTACTACTATTGACGATTAAAGACCACTTATTACAATATATTGATAGATTATTCAATCTTTTTTGTAAACTTCGGACAGTGCTATCAAACAGTAACATATCATCGGCAAAGAGTAACATGAAAAGTCGACAGACACCAAGGTCAATGCATCTATCTTTATCAACACCAGGAAATTCAGTAATATAATTAACATACAATGAAAATAGCAGTGGTGATAGTTGCCAATCCTGTTTTATTCAGTCAAAAGTTTTGTATAGCCACCTTGCAATGACATACATGATTAAACATTTGTGTACATATTTCTAATTAATCTAAAAAAATTACATTTGCCATTGCCAGTCCAAAGTTTATACATCAAACTTGTTCTATCTATGGAATCCAATGTAGCTTTAAGATCAACGAAACAACAGTATAGTCTGCACTTATATAAAGACTAGTATAAGAGACCAGTGTATCTAACACAATATATTGTGCTAGATGAGGTGAATGAGTTGATAGAGTTCGTAAGTTATAAAAGGTTATCAAATTAAGATGACACTACGCCCACTTTAATAGGGATATGAAGGTGATACTTCAAAATAGACCAGATGTTTGTAGCAGACATCATGGTCGGTCTGTTGTCAAGGGTCATAACTCTGATTTTTTTTTGTGTGGTAACATTTTATATGACGAGTCGGTATGTTCTAGGTTCGGGTCGGCAGTGTTGGAATGAAAAAAAAGATTTTTTTAAAATTTTGGTCTGCAATAAAATAAGGGTCGGTCGGGCGATGAGAAACACAAAAATTACAAATTCTGCCCATACTGTTACTATCGTTAAACCATGACAAACTCTTTCCCTCATATGTCACTGTCTCTCACTGACAGCATACATCCCCTCATCATGACATAAAAAGCTGAATAAATGAAAGCATTAAACACTTCTCGTCATAAGAGTTTATAATACAATGTCAATAGAGTGTATGTGATGTAGATTTAAAAACCCACGAAGCATGATGCAGCATGGTTTATTTTAGAAACACAGTGTAACAATAGCGGCTTAAGACCCAGGTATCTCATCGGAGACAAGACTATCTCCACAGGTCCTGCTGTTGGTGTTGTCGCTAAAACAACCTCCTGCTGACTGTATCGTCTCTCCGTGGGCTTCAGAGGCTGCAGTGTTCTGGTATATATACATGACAAATTGTCTGTACTTCATCAGTTTTCCTCTCCCTGCAAAGCACACCAAGACATTCGCCATGAAGTTCTCCCTCATTCTTGTTTTAGTTGGTAAGTGAATTTTGAACTATACACTCTCTTACCGTTATATAGTAACATGGTAATTCGGTTTTGCTTCTTTTTTCTTGAAATTCATCTTCTTAATTATGCTACAAACAAGTGAGAAATTTCTGTCTTTTAACGAATTCTGTGTGATTGATATGTGTTGCAGACAGAATTTTACATAACCGATTGACTGAGTTTGGTTTTACGCCGCTTTTAGCAATATTCCAGCAATATCACGGCGGGGGACACCAGAAATAGGCTTCACACATTGTACCCATGTGGGGAATCGAACCCGGATCTTCGGCGTGACGAGCGAACGCTTTAACCACTAGGCTACCCCACCGCCCCACGAATTTTACATAAATGTTACAAAACAACGCACCATTCCTTCTAAAACAATCAACATAAAAATTATCGTTATTTACACAGTAACACAAAGCTTTAACATGGCATTATTATTTGTGTTAATCATACCTAATGTGTGGTTGGTTCCTTATTAGGTACAGGGTATCATATCAGTGCCGGAGCGGTATTCATATAAGCTTATGCTTGTTTACCAATCCGGTTCCTTTTTGGGAACAGATCAGTGCCATTGTTTATTGTCCGTGTTAGCTTAAAAGTAAAAATATTATTTTAAACTTTTAATCTGAAATAGAAATATTTAATCTGTTGGAATAGAGAGCAAATTATTTCATTTTTTTAAACAAAATATCAGAAGCCACTTCAAATCTTCCATGTATTCTTATTCTCGAAGAATAAATGCCACATCTTTGTGATTCCAGCTATGCTTCTGGCTGTGAGCCTTGCCCATCACCGCCGTCGACATCGTCATCACCACCACCATCATCATCACCACTCTTCTTCCGTGAAACACGTGCACCACTACGAATCATCAGGATCATCAGGCTCATCCGGGTCTTCCGGCTGCGGCTGTTGTGGAGGTAGCTCCGGATCCTCCTCTTCCTCCTCCGAGGATTACCCCATCCCAATCCCCGTCCCCATCTCTAGCGGCAGCAGCAGCAGCGGCAGCAGTGGTTCCTCCGACGCCGCCCTTCTTCAGGCTCTCATCAACGCTGGGAAATAGGTAAACAGAGGTTTTCATTATATCCTTAATGGTTTTCGGTTTAATACCGACTTCTCTTAAAAATAGTTTAAAGGAGACTATAGCGAGTACTATGAGTAAACTGTGTAATGTTCAATACTGTACACTTTTAGCACTGATCAAGTTTTACTGAGGTTGTTTCCTTGTTTATGAGGGAACTTAAC